CACACACACACACACACACAGAGAGAGAGAGAGAGAGAGAGAGAGAGAGAGAGAGAGAGAGAGAGAGAGAGAGAGAGAGAGAGAGAGGTGTTACAGGCAGAGGTTATGCCAGGGTATGGGGCCGAGGAGCTGATTCGACATCGCAGGGGCAGACATTGATTGAACCTTCAACAAGGGCACTATTTTTAAGGACTGAGCTATCGCGACTTTGGTCTTCTCCCTCATCTCCATCTTAGCCTTGCTCTTCCTCCATCCCCCTCCCTCATCCGTGGTTTCTCCCCATGTGCGTGCTCAAGGAGGGACCTACCTTCTGTGTACGCAGTCCCTCCCTTCTCTCTCACCTGTGTTGTGTCCGATGGGTTCGCTCAAGAGTCAGTGTCCGACTGCTCAGGTCATTTTTTTTTTTGAGTCTTCCTCTGGTCTACATGGTGCCATTTCTGTAGGTATCTGGACGCACATTGCTTGTTGATGCGTTGCTGATACTGCATTGTCCATTTGAGTCCTTATCATCACTTTGCTGATCCTTTGGCTCCATTGCGTCACTCGGATTATTCCCAACTTGGGACTCGACTGGGACTCTCAACTTGGGACTCGACTGGGACTCTCAACTTGGGACTCGACTGGGACTAAAATGATGAATCGACGGCCCATGACGAGAACCAGCAGTAACTCGATGTCAGACTCACGTATGACAGTCTGTACCAAGAGTTACTGCGGTGAGGAGAATTCTTCCTCCAAGACGAGAAGCAGCGGTAACTCCATGTCAGACTCTCATACGTCTGAGCCAGCGGTTACTGTTACGACGAGAATCAGCAGTAATAACTCCAGTTAGGCTGCTGTTCCCTGCAGTAACTCCATGTCAAACTCACATACAACCCGGTCTGAACCAGGAGTTACTCCTATGACAAGAATCAGCAGTAATAACTCCAGTTAGGCTGCTGTTCCCAGCAGTAACTCCATGTCAAACTCGCGAGTTACTACTATGTTGAGAATCAGCAGTGAAAACTCCAGTTAGGCTGCTGTTCCCCGCAGTAACTCAATGTCAAACTCACATACAACGCGGTCTGTACCAGCAGTAACTCCCATGTCAAACTCACATACAACGCGGTCTGTACCAGGAATTACTGCTATGACGAGAATCAGCAGTAATATGACTCCAGTTAGGCTGCTGTTCCCAGCAGTAACTCCATCATGTCAAACTTGCATGCGACGGCTTGAACCTAAGTACAGGACAACAAGATGCCACGCATATAGTCACTCGCGTCGCCTATCAGCAGTAACGACTCCAGTTAGGCTGCTGTTCCCCGCAGTAACTCAATCTCTATCAGCAGTAATGACTCCAGTTAGGCTGCTGTTCCCCGCAGTAACTCAATCTCAATCAGCAGTGATGACTCCAGTTAGGCTGCTGTTCCCCGCAGTAACTCTATCTCAATCAGCAGTAATGACTCCAGTTAGGCTGCTGTTCCCAGCAGTAACTCGATCTCAATCAGCGGTAAAAACTCCAGATAGGCAGCTGTTCCCCACAGTAACTCAATCTCAATCAGCAGCTGCACATATAGCTGGGAACAGCAGCCTCATGGCTACCGCCATCTTCACCAGAATGGAATGGAATGCCTGGTCATTATAGCTGTATTTGGAACGACTTGCTGTCTATGTACGGCGATAATCACCGGGAGTTCTATTCGGGTGAAGACAGTAGGATGGTCTCAGGGGTATTTTCGGAATGAACTCACGTAGTCATACATGTTGTGTTGATACATGCCAACTGCGTCCCCTCAACGACTACACGCCATACATGTTTATACATGTGTTTATAGATGTGTTTATACGTGCGTTGATACGTGTGCACTACGCCCCTCAACGACTACACGCCAGACTTTCCTGCGGGGGATGACGATATAGTCGTAAGTTCCACGAAGGCTACAGGCATTGAAACCAAGGCGATCGGTGAGCTAACTAATTGTCTGGACTAGAGTACAGCAGAAGTCGTTGCATTGCTGTGTGTGAGTATGGAGCCCGTCGTTATAGCCGGGAACAACAGCCTAACTACGTAGTAGGCTGGGCTCAGGGGTATATCAGCTGTCAGGAGTATGTCCGCAATGAAGTTTGAATGAAATCAAAATACATCAATCCAGTATATATAATATTATATATGCCAAGATTGTGAATGGAAACTCCCATATACAATGGTCTGAGACTCTGAACCAGTGGTTTACCTTGGTTAAACTACGTTTAAATCATTGTGGTTAAAAAAGAAAAAACCAAGGTTGTGGTAAAAAAAAAAATACCTTGGTCAAACGATTTTAAACTTAGGTTAACCAAGTTTTTCTTTTTTACCACAACGATGTATATACCTTGGTTAAACTACGTTTAAATCGATGTGGTAAAAAAAAAACAAAAAAAAAACAAGGTTGTGAATGGAAACCCCCATATACAATGGTCTGAAGCAGAGTACGGCAGAAGATGTCGCATAGATGTGTCTGCCTATGCACCGGTCGTCGTAGCAGGGAACAGCAGCCTGACTGAATAGACCAGTCTTAGGGTTATGTCAGGTGTCAGGGTTATGTCAGGTGTAGGGTTATGTCAGGACTATGCCAGCAATGAACTCACATACAATGGTCTCAACCTGAGTACAGCCGAAGATGTCACATAGCTTGGAAAAGCAGCCTAACTGCCAAGCTGGTCTTAGTGGCATGTCAGGTGTCAGGGTTATGTCAGGTGTCAGGAGTGTGGTGGCAGGGAACTCTCATGCAATGGTCTGAACTAGAGTACAGCAGAAGAAGATGTCACATAGCTGTGTGTCACTATGGACCGGTATTTGTACCACCTTGGAAAAAGCAGCCGAACTGCTAGGCTGCGCTTATTAGGCGGGGTATGTCAGGTGTCAGGGGTAGATCGGGTGGCAGGGGTACATCAGGCATCAGGATTACGTCGGAAATGAACTCACGTGCAGTTGTCTGAATCAGTGTACAGCACCGCATGTCACACACGTCCATGACTATTGACCGGTAGAGATAGCTGTGAACAGCAGCCTGTTGGCTATAGGCTGGTCTCAGGGGTATGGCAGGAATAGAATTCAGTACTACCGGTAGGAGGGTACTGACGAGAAATGTCTGAGGGAGAGAACTGTAAATGTGCTCGTACTGGTAACATCCCAGAAAAATAATTGTCCAGTCCCCGGCTTGAGGTTCAGGGATCGAGCGGTGACGACGGTCACACGAGGTTCCACGTAACTCGTCACTGCGAAGATCGGGTGGCAATCGCAGAGCAGCCGTCAAGATGCGTCTTCGGCCCTTGCGTTCGGCTTCTTGTAAAACACAAGCAGCACGATTCGTTTCTTCTAAACAAGAAATGAAAAAAACAGTATAGACTGTCACTGCGAAGATCGGCCGGCGATTGGAGACCAGCCTTTATCAAGATGCGCCTTTGGCCCTTGCGTCCGTGTAACTAACTCAGCTTCCGCTTCTGGTAAATTAAAAGGAGCACGATTCGTTTCTGCTAAACAAGAAATAAAAAGCAAAAAACAGAACAGACTGTCTGCTGTTTTTTGCTATCTATATGCTTCAAGTGGGACCTCTCCTCCCCCAAGCGTACTTCACCTGACCCTCTACAGTGTGCAGATGCAAGATCTGCACCTGACCCTTTGAATCGTGCAGGTGCATGATCTGCACCTGACCCTTAGAATTGCGCAGGTGCATGATCTGCACCTGACCCTTTGAATTGCGCACGTGCATGATCTGCACCTGACCCTTTGTCCCGGCCCCATATCTTCCGACCAGAGCATGTTGTCTCGATATCCTCCCCTTCTTTTTTCACCGTTTTAAAGAAGTAGAGAGGAGGGGATGGGTGGGGCCCGCTCACGAGGGTGCACTGAGAGTTCCGTCCCGATGTGACTTGAACCACCCACTATTCTGCAACCTTGGCCTTCAGCACCCTCCGGCACCCTCCGGCACCCTTCCGGCACCCTTCCAGCACCCTCCGGCACCCTCCAGCACCCTTCCGGCACCCTTCCGGCACCCTCCGGCACCCTCCCGGCACCCTTCCGGCACTCTCCGGCACCCTCCGGCTAATACAGGGCCCTGGGCCTCTAGCACCATCTGGCGAACGCAGGGACTCCGAAAAGTTCGGACTATTTTTCGATCAAAAGACGTCATATCAGCCTGGAAGGAGTTAAAAAAAAAAGAAAAAAGAAAAAGACGGGCTGGTGAGTCGTTGTGACGTCCGGTCGCAGCTATGTTTATCATTGTTTCGCTTGCTGACTGTGTTTATGAACTGTACGCTT